CGTCACAGTTTCTGCACGATTTATTTCTCCAGGCCATCAGCAATTTCACAAAGGAATACAACATAATAACGCGCGTATTTGTCTTCACTACCACTGAAGTACCAAATACTGTTGGACTGAGGTTGTCTCTATGGTGATCCCGTCGCATATAGGTCTCTTTATGTATCTAAGAAGGGTTAGGGATTGTATCTCAGTGTTTTCCGTCTAAAGATAATGCTGGTGATTGATCGAAAGCAATAATTATCAGTTCTGTTGAATGTGACCTTGGGGCCACATAATCGATGCACCTGATGCATTCGACCACTTTCTTGAGTCGAACATTCCAAAGAAAAAAGTGGGTTGTTATATATTTTATGAATTACAATTTGTTGTGGGTAGTTGCTTTTGAATAAAATCAGCTCTCTGTCTCGACGGAACTACCATAACCCCTTTGTAGGTGGTTGAATATTCACATTTTCAATCATAATTTCATTACATCAATTATTGATACATTAACTCTGTCAAACTGGTCTAGCAGCGTATCTTTTTAGTTGCACTTCTGTTTTGATCAGTGCTCAAACGTAAGTGGGCAAGTAGGTGTTTACGAAAAGGGAATTCCCCTGGAAATGCATTCAACGAAGCTGAATATAAAAACGCAAGTTTATCGAGAAAAAAAAAGATTCAAAATCCTCCAAAAAGATTTGCTGGGTTATTATTTTACAGGAACAGTTCTTTTTGTGTTAGGTGATTCGATTGGGAAATCGTGAGCTTTGGGCGCATGAGACTGTGCTCGTGAAGAATTGAGGTCAAATAAATTTATGCAATTATGCAAATATATAAATCTTATCTAAGAAACGGATTAATTGATTCTCAAGGGTTTACTATAGTTTCTCAGAAATATAATGATTCCAATTAATTGGATGAAAAATCATCAAACTGCATAGAGGATCTTGAGAATTTTTATTTCTTTATTTCTTTATTTCGTAATGGAAATACCTAAACCTGTTACTTAAAAAAAGATCTAAACGAACCAAACGATGGCCTTACGTTTATCTTTGAAATTCTGTCAACAGTTAAGTTCAATCAATGAATGTTTACAATTGGGGCGTTTTGTGTTTTGCTTGAACTAAACTCATACTCGCGATATGCTGTGCAAAATGTTAAAAATTACCAACGTTCTTTGCCTGCAAAATGAAATATGCTGCCCTAATTCCGTGAAATTCATTTTGCAACAACAAAGTGGGCTTATTTAAAGGCATAAGTAGTTAATCCAGGGTCAGTGAATAAGTAATGCTGTTTGACATCCACAAACGCGAACTTATCCTAGCGTTGTTCACAGGAATGTCATTAAAGAGATAATATAGCGTCTTGTGTGAATTATACTTGCATTACTAATAAGATTATTCTTTGTTAAAAGTTGGTAAAAATCCATCAATGTTTTTACAAATCAGCTAACTCATGTTAGAGCATATCAACATATAGTCCGCATGATACCTTGCCAGTGGTGAATTAAACTCTCTTGAAACATTTACCATGTACAATATTTTAAATTTGGATATTACTTTATTTTATCTCTCTCTTCTGAAGACTGCCATGTTTCTCTTGTGTTGGAGTCCGCGATTTTAATGAGGCACTCATATTATGAAAAATAATTCCATCGCAAATAGCTATGGCATGGTTTTCTGCTTTTGACAAACAAGAAGCTGGAATTCGGTGTGTTAGGAAAGAAACATTTTGAACAAACATTTGGATTCTCACCCTCCTACGTGGTCTTATCTATTCCCAAATAGTAGAGAGAAAGAACAAAAAGTCGATTTGGGGAACACAGGCACGTACTAACTGCCACATAGTTGTTTACTTTGCAAAATGAAGTGTGTTTGTCCTCAGCTAGTGTACCCATAAATCATCTCTAACAATCGTTTGAAGGAGAAGAACGTCGCTAATTTGGTTGTTTCTATTTTCTTCCATCAAACTGTCCAATTCCACATTGCCGCTCTTCGAAATTCCCGTGCACAAGGGGATAACTACTATTTTCGTCTCCGTTGATGATTAGACTGAACGAAGGATAGCGCACATCTCTGTTTACTGAATAGGACGCTTTGAGCACCAGGTTGCTAGTTCGCCAGTTTTACACATATACTCTCAAAGAAAAGCGACTTTTATCCAGCACGAGCTGTTTATCCTTTCTGAGGAATTGTTTACTCAGAGAAACCGGAGTCAAAGTGAATGATTATTCAATATCACTAGAGGAAACCTCTTTAGGATGTTTTCTTAAAGCATGAATATGCTGTATTCTGAATAATTCTAGTTGTCTTTCTCACCGGGACCAGTAACTAAGATTGCTGGAAACTACGGCGAGGTGTTAGGATCAGCATTTTCCAAGGGAATGTTTGGGTTTACCACCAAAGCTATTTGAGATATGCTTGTTCATGCTCTTCTATCAAAAAAGCTTACCTTGTTTTGCCTTGCAGCACACAACTGAATTTAAATTGATCAAATATTCTCAGTCAAGCAGTTGATGCACATTCAGGTAAAAATGCTTCTTTTGAGATAATGACCTAAAAAGAACTGGACCCGTTTAAACGCAAACTACAAATGATGGCCAATTATCTGGTTTATAAATGAGTTCCAGAGAGAATGTTTCTCAAAAACATTGGAAAGTGTGATAATCGTATTGTAAGGTCAAATGAAAAATCACAATACGGTATAGATTCGTATGTTTTAGCCGAAAAGGATTTTGATAGAGTAATTTGTGCTGTTATTCAGAACCTCAGAAATGTCTGATATAGAATTTGATACAGCAGAAATAAAACAATGTAGATTGAGCGGCAAAGCACACTAAGAATGTCGTGCAGCGTGTTATCAATCCGACAGTGAAAAAATACAGCAATCTTTATGAAAACCATCATCATTTCTTCTGTTTCCGACAGACCGTGGTTTGGATACGGAAAGACTCTACAGGTAACCGTTCAAATTTGATAAATTCTACTTATTCGATACACAAAGATACGAATTGGCATGATGTGATGTCCAGTGTCACTCATGCATGCATCGATTTTTGATTGAATGTTTGATCCTTAAAGTAGGGGGATGCATGTAAAGCCTTTCTTTCGCCGTTATCAAGACATACTATCTCTAACAATACCTGCAAATGGATGCGTAACATCCCAAAGGTTTATCGTAACCACACTCCGGATACGCATAACAAATGCTCACATATTATTACACTTCACAAAGCGTTAGAAATAATGATTTGTTTGATTTCGTCGGAAGGTTCCTTTCAGATTGTGTAACTGGTGCTTGTTATTTATAATTAAAATGGTTATTTGTAATAGGTATCAAGAAATGAGTTTTGCGTGCGCGGTTTTCCTATTCTTGTCACACTCATCCAAATATGACACATGTTTTGATGGTGCAGTGGTTGATCATTAGAGGTTTTGTACACAATTAATCTGTATAAGTGCCGGCTTCCCTACGTTTTCCAATTCAAACATCCGTAACAATAACTGAATCCAACCGGACGGGCAGAACTAAATTGCACATCAACAATGAACGACTTTCAGTTGGGCATTGGGTATGCCACACTTACGACAGTAAATGCTATTTCAAACAATATCCAATTTGAACTGCATTTCCTGTTTATTGTATTCAAATACAACGAACGGTCAAACTCAGCTAGTTTTCCGAGAACTTCCGTTGCTTTCGAATACAAACTTGGTGCTCTTGCGCATCTAGCATAGATATCACGTTTAAAACTGACACACCTGAACTAATATTATTTATAAGCTAACTCCAGATAAGTTACATTTTGCCCAAATCGGTATACATTAGTAGTCGAGTTCATCTGCTATAACGGACAAGACAAAAATTCAATTTTAAACTCAAAATATACATTAGTTTCTGGGCACAAAGCACGTAGGTTTTAGTATTGAGATAAAAGGAATTATTCCATGCAAACTCATGTTTCTACTGAGAAATTATTACGTCGTAACAATCTGTCGTTAAACACAATTTGCCTGGGATGTAATAAATGCAAAAGCGCATGCACTGTTTTGTTAAGAGTCCACAAATGTCTGGGTTACAATAAGCAGGGACTTTCAGCTAATTGGGACAACTTCAGTTCAACGGGCAACCACAATCAAATCAAAAAGTCCCCGTTGTACCTGGTAATAACGAGTTCCATTCAACGAGGTTAGCTAACAGAACGGTACACTTCATTGAGGGTTACAGCACAGCTGGGGCCTAAACAGTAATAATCTGTACTAAATACCAAAAACAGTTTATTCCAATGCACTTTGTTCTATGTTTTTTGTACGTCTGTACTTGCCCATCAGCGAAATGAAGCCGGTTTATGAATTGATTCGGTTGGGATTAGAGAGGAGACCGCAACTAGAAAACAAAATTCTGGTATAAACGTAAACATTCCCGAATGGAAACAGTGCAAGCTGGCACTTCTGTCCATTTATGATTATCAGGAAAAAAACAAGATATATTTTATAGTGTCGATAAACAACAGAAGAAACAACCACTCATTTATTCCTGCGCTCAACATATCGTGTGAAACAGAGCAGTCTGTTGTTTATTAAAAAGAATAGTATAAAATGTTATCTGCCATCGCATGCGTTACAAATGATTGCCGAAACCTATTACTCATGGATTGACAGATATCTTGCTTCCCCCTGGGCTGCGAACATTTTTTTCGCTCAAGAACAATCAATATCTATCCATTGGTCACTCAGCTATTCTAAGTAATAACGCATTTGAAACGCATCTCCTGCAAAATCTTTTTTTCACACTTAAGATACAAATAGAAAGTAATGTATCCTTTTTATATAAATTGGTGATAATAAACAATCCAGGTTTTATAAACGAATCACTTAATCGTTGGTTGCAAACAAGTTTCTAGACAATACCCAATGTCTCATGGTGAATGTATCACATTTTGTTAAACTATCTTATACAGTACAATGATTGGCGAGAGTAACACTCCGCTAATATGAATAATCGATGAGCACTCATATTCACTGACCTGTACGAAAATTCACGATTATGTCCAAAAAGAACACGGTATCGGAAATTCCGTTGAAAGCAATCCATCGGCCTGAGACATCATCATTGAAAAACGAGATTATCACCGGAAGCATGATCAGGTTTGCAATCAGCAGTACCAACATAATGAGATTCCAGTACAGACTGAAACCAAACGTGATTGAAATCGGGAATTCATTCTTCAAATGCACAGACTTGACACAGCGGGACATTAAAATGCATTAATTCAAATCACTTTTTCAAATTTGTTTTCAGAGGAGCTGATAAAACATGGAGTATAAAGAGTTTCTGAAAACCCGATAATCGTACGCAACCGGAATTTTGATATTTGAATTTGAGAATGGTTCACAAGGATTGAGTAGGCATGACAATGGTTGAACGTATGTCGAATTTGTATTGTAGTTTTATACTGGTTGATGAAGATGGTAATACGATTTTCATTCAATGCACGATTTCTTCCAATATCTTCTGTATCACATCTNAAAGCATTCAAAGATGAATATTATATTGCCTTCATTAACGTTCTCAGTTTACAATATTTTACTCAACAATTTCGCTTTCTCCCCGGATAGGAGAAGTAAACACGTGCATTTTTACATGTGAAACTTCAAGTTAATATCTTAACAACTGTGTCCCTAGGTTTTCCTGTTGACTACCACTAATCTTTAAGCAGAACATTAGAAAATAGTAATATTTTTGTATGGTCCTAAATGAGCCTTCAGATATAGTAGTATCTTCATTTCATTCCACGTTAAAGACATCTGGGCTTTCTCTACGAAAATCACCTCTAGAGTTCTGCAGCGGGGTTCAGATAAGTTGGAAATAGGTAGACAAACGGTTTATCACGTCATCGATAGAGGAATGATAGCAGTTAATTCGACATCCTTGAGTATTGCTTAGCGAATGTAGGGACGTTATTTTGCTATTATGCATCCGTACATGTTGCCCCCGATGCGATATGCGGTTCAAACTCTCAAACAGTTTGGTCTTTGTGCAAGATGTCCTGTTTGTTACCACCTACAAATTTTATCGGTTTGAAATCTAGACGATATTTGTTCTTGTGAAAATAAGCCATCCACATGAGAACAATTGTTGTTCAGGCAGTAGGTAAACGTTTACTCTGAATGTAATTTTTGTACCGTGATTACTTTAATGTATATCCTAAGGGTTTTCTCTAAAAAAATGATTAATGTCGTCCAGCAAACAATATAGATATTCACAGATTGAACTTTTGGCATCTTTGAATGAAAACTGCTCTTGCATCTGCGTCAAATGTCTTGTTTCCAGTGCACAATTCAATTAGGCTAGACATCTAACGTTAGGAATTGCGAATTTGGTTATAGAAATACTTCTGATCTATATAGCTTACTTGTCAAACAGCGAGGTGATATCATTTGCCAACAATTTCAGTTGTCAACCCAATAAGGTACCAGATGTTTGTTTCATATGCAACAAACTATGTATTGCGGTCCAAATACTGTTTGGTGGCTTTTTACACTGATGTTTGTGATACATGAAACTTTTGATGTTCTTTTTTCATTCATTCATAAATCGATCCTGATGTTCTTTTTGCTTAACAGATGCTTTATATTAGATAAGCAACAGAACAGCAAACATGGTGGCAGATTGCGATGTTTGTTCTTCATCATTTTCTCCATTTTCAATGAACCCACGAATCTTTTCTGAGGCACTTGGAAAACTATGTGGGAAACTGAGAACCGGTATTTTTTAAAAGCGTTCGTTTCTTTCGGAACATCTGCATCGGGATGTCCAACTGCTGATACTTGCAATAATTTTGATTCCCGCTCAAATGAATTTTTAATTTCATGAACAAAAGCTCCCTTGACTGCCTGTCAAACCACTTTGCGTTTTGAAGGTCATGCTAAGCAAAACTGCTTCTGAATCGCACGTCTTTAGAATGGAATGAATAACATTGATAAACAGATGCTCACTATTGCTTTGCACAGTAGTAAATCTCTAATTTGATAGGGTTACGCTCTTTTGTTATTGTTCCGCATTTTGGGTTATAGAGCCATGCTTTCAGAAGAGAAAGCAACAGAAGCAATCAAAAATAGTGAGCTGTTTTAGATTTTATTTTTTTCGGGTGACATGAGGATGACGGTTGAAGTGTAACAAATGCTTGGGAACGGTACTAATACCTAGTATGAAAGCCCTTTGATCGGATATCGTGTTAAGTAGCTGAAAAATCAACGAATGTGGACTATTAAACGAGTCTCATTTCTGGTAAGTGTTACATTTTTCGATGTTGACACCGTATGCATGAATTATGCGTGGTGCGAATTCCAAATAGGAAAAAATCAAGTACTTCGGTAGTTGCTGTTCACAAAATTCCTTAATGCATCTTGAGTGCCCTACGCAGGTTGCTACGCGTTTATGGAGTGTCAAAACATTTTGATTTTGTGCGCTTTTTAGGTAAACTGAAAATACTCGAAGTAAAAAGTTATGATTGAATTGTTTTCTAAAGAAAACTTTCATACAAATAAGACGTTTATGGCAGCATTTTGTAAAAAGAAAACGATTGAAAACAGACAAATATCTGTATGTATAATCACCCTTTTTCTGCTAGTTGTCTTTTCGTTCGATACGTATCATATTAAACACAAATAAAACAGCAATAGAGTAATAGCTTTATACGTTCCAGTATACTGTAAACAAATTATTTGGTAAAGACAAATGACTGGTCTGAAAAGCGAAGAAAATATTTGGGAGAGTGCAATTCACTCAGAAGTTGAGAAGCCTCACGCCGGAATGCTATAACAATCGTTTAACATGTTACTGTATATAGAGTTATTGTACCACGTAATCGCCGCCTTCGAACCAGAAGAACATACTCACCGAAAATTACTGCACGGATGAATTACCCATTTACCCTGTTCTCTCTGACGTCGTCTTTCACAAGCCAAAGCAACTTTGTTTCCAAATAGCTTCAATGCCAGTCGATTGTTTGATGGTTGGAAGAAAGATATGAACTGTTCCTTTAGGTTGACAACAGACCAAGATCGATCTCGTTCAACCCCGTGCCACTGATCATCACCGAGCTCCTGTAGAATCGAGTTGTCACCACCAATTCCAACCTTCATATTGTCTTGTTCCAAATCTGCAATAAAAGATTTTTCCTCCTCATCGCATTCAGATGGGGCCAAATCGATAGTATAGCGGCGATTGGGTGGCTGTTCGTTCACATTCTGCTCACAATCTGTAGTGTTTTCAAGGAATGCGGTAGAGTGAAACCGTGAACGGAGCATTGAGAGGGAATTCCGAATACGTGATCCATACACTTTGGATTTTTTAGGTGGCGGTTGACGAACAAGCACAAATGTTTTGCTTTTTATACTAGAGTAGCTTCCCTTTGAAAGTGTTCGAGCAGAAACGTCACATTTCTGTGTTGAGTTTGTTATGTCCGACGGAGGTGAGAATGTTGACGGTCGAATGCTCTCTGGTGTCCTTTGACCCAAACTGTTGCTTGTGGAATTCCATTNTATGCGTTTCTCTCAGTTCACATATTACTCAATACATTTTAATGCTCACAGTATTGCCGATCGCTCCATCAGGAGGTACTCATCTCTTACGTAGCAGACATAATAATTTGCGCCCCGCTCACCAAAATCACACCAAACTTACTTTGGATATAAATGATCACTGGAGGATTTCTATTGGTCGACTGGTGGGCGGATGCTGTGGGCGAATCAGGAAAGAGACGTGTTTGTTGAATGAACCCACTGGTATTTATGTATGGCCTACTTGAGCCGAATCCAATATATTCGATTACCGTTTGTTTGCTCATAATGGCCGTTGCTGAGTACGTTAGTCACCCTTTATGACTGAGTTGTTTCAACCGCAAAATTATTGCAGAAACCGGGGGCTAAACCCAAACTTGTGATCATGATGAGCTTTCAAAACACGTCAGTCAGTTGCAAAGTGGCAATCAGTGTGCACACCACAAGCCAAGCATGGATGATTCCCTGCGAAATTGTTTGAGGGCGGTTGACCTTAACAAATCACTCTCCGTGGATTAGCCCATCTCATGTTTCGTTCCATGATCGGCACGTAAAAGCGAAGCCAAGGGCACGTCATAGAATTGAGCGCTGGAAAAGTACGGAGGTTTGAAATAGGGAGCTACAGTATGCACCCGAATGCAAACGCGAAAGCGTTTGATGGGACGATTTATAGAGATAAATTTTCATGGATATGACACGGCCCATATTTGGGGAAAACAACTATGTCTGTAAACGCCTCCTTCTGCTTACTCTTACACTAATTTCGTTTAATAACACTCTGCTCAGAAAGTGGTTCTAATACAAATAAAGTCCAGTACAGTTCTTGTGTTGGAAACTCACTTGGTCTGAAGGCTTACAAAGAGTGATGGATTGTTGCTCTCTAATCGTTTAGTCTCAGCATTGATGGATACTGTTTTTCGCGTGACCAAGCTTTTTTAATCGTTGAAACAGTCCCATAGAACACTACCACTAATATTTGTTTATCGAAATAAAAATAGCTAGTTTCTTATTTAGGTGGATCTTATAGGCAAACAAATTGAAACGAGTCAATAACTTATTCAGCCAGAAGGTCAATATTTGAAAACCATCAATGAAGCCACAGGTGCCATTTCCTTTTCGACATGGCAGTGATTTTTGATTTTGTGTTCTCATTGCTTGCGAAATTGCTCTGCATTCAGTAATTCCAGGCAAAAAGGGATGAATAATAAAAAAGACATTTTCCGCGTAGACATGGAAGTTTACATTGAAGTCTTTTGCACAGAAAACTAGCAATGAGTCAGTTGACCATTTGGGACAGTCATAATAAACCGCGTGACCAAATTCTGTGTTGAGAATAATTTGCTATCAAACAATCTGCTCTGATATGGATCGCATTTCGATGTGGAGATATGGTGATTCACGTTTAAGTGAAGGCAACAAATTTTATGTGATAAGTGTGAATTCTTTTTATTTTCCTGATACTCCAGTCAATTGCTCAAATTCGATACATCCCAACCAACTGAAGTCTCGCGACTCATAAACGAAGGTAGCGGAATAATCTCAAAATGTATCGTACAGACAATTAGGTATTTTATTATTCATGAATATGTTGGTCACATTATCATTATTATTATTGTTGTGGCTGATTAAAAGAATCATCGGTTTCATCTCAAAAGATAAAATTAACCAATGGTCTCGTTAAACGTTTGAATTTGTGGAATATGAACAAGAACACTGTCGTTTACCGCATCATCTCTGGTGGATATCATACAGACAATCTGTACACACGTAAAATAAACCAACGTGAGTAGGCGTCAAACGAAACAGGTTGTTCCCCAGGCATGTAGGGGCCATTCTCTTCAGTGGAAAATGTTGTCACCAAAGGAACAGAATCGTAAACAGGCTCCTATGATATACAACTGCAACTGACGATTGAGGGAACTAGAATTTATGGGGTTTACCGAAACCAATGGTTCTCCGTATGCGATACNACGTCAATAATAATTTTTGGCAAACGAATAAAAAACCAAAGCCTGGTAATACACACAAGGACATTTACTTCAATTCAGATGCGGAAGAGACTACTATTCCACTATTTCTGAACGTTCTTATGACTCAAGATATTGATCGGCAAATAGAAAGAAAATCGCTTACAAAGCCAACAGAACAAAAACTTACTGTTTATGAACTGCTACAAAGAAAGAGAAACTGCTGTAAATTCTGTTTGTCAATCGAGATGGTTTAAAATAGAAATATATTCCGGAATAATGATGTACTGGATGATCTATCAGTACTCACGACGAAATAAAACATATTACCCATTGAAAGATTTTCAAGTGAGAGTCGGACGGACCTGTTAATCCGTCCCAATGTGCCCTCACTTCCAACTATTTTGAATACCTCCAACTTTACACAGTCACCATTGCCAGAGCGATGAGCGCACTAGATCGATATCACCTGATTAAAACCTTTACCTGGTGTAACCTTGTCAAATGCCCAAGCATGAGAGTAACCCACAGGCTCGTGTGCGCTGCTCTACTGAATAGTCTGTGTCTTTCGGAACTCGACTGTATCGTGCCCATCTGGTTCGATTGTATCTTTTTGCTTTGGTGGGCTGGGGAGCCTGAGTTCTTCTCAGGTTTCGCGAAAATTCAGACCTGACGCGTTTAGCCAAATCAAGTGTTCTTTGTCATTTTCGATTGACTCTATCTCAAAACACTTGAAACCTGTGGACTAGGGATAAACAGATTTCACATCAAAAGCCTCTTGAAGAAGGTAAAACGTCATTAGCCTGGTATCCTCATCAAAACTGAAAAATTGCATTTACACATGTTGAGCATCTTAGGTTTTTACGAAACAGCGTCCCTGTCTCGCGCATTTATCCATTCCCATTCACATATACATGGACTGTGACCCATTGTATAATAACGGCTTAAATGCACCAAACTTATATGTGATACACAAGTGCTTGTGAAAGAAGTTGTTCTTGTGTCTTACTGAACCTATTGGGGATTTAATTCTCGAAGCTCCGGTAGTTTAAGGCCAATAATCAAATAGCATATCACCAGCATACAGCAGTAGCATAGCTAGGGCATTTTTGAAATATTAGGAAGAAATTGAAGGGGGAGAGTCCATCAATTAAATGTGTTTCGGGGTAATAACTTCATACATGCTGTATCGATACTCACTTACGGATTTCAGTGAAGTAGCAGGTGTTATATCATGTGGTTCTGATTATGGTGAAAAAATAAGTTTGCAAAAAACGAACCAGAGTTAGCTCCCGCTGTCTGTCAACAGCATACTTTTATGTTCGTATCGATTGAGTAGGATCACAGAAGAGAGTTCTACGCGGCCGATGATGCAGTTGGATGTTTGAGATGATTAGTGAAAACTTCGGCTGCAGGCATCAATGTTTTCTGAGCGTTAAAGGTAAAATAATTCAAATGTACATTTTCTTTGAACACCCTGAGAGAGCTGAAATAGGACGACGGGAGGAACGCTTCAACTCAAAGTACAGTAAATGAATAAGATTTTTATGTTCGGTGTCCGGTGGAAAACTATTTGAAGGTGGTTCTGTGTATATATTTTGTTTTTTATTAGGTACGTTTTCCGACCGTTGTGAGTGACATTTTTCGACATAATGAGCTAAAAATAGTTCCATACCTATGTCTATTTCTACGTCTTTATGCGATTTACCTCTGTCGCGTGACGACTACTACGACTGAATGGAAGAAACACATAATTATGGACCGGGTGTTAGCTGACATGAAAAATGTAAGCAAAGAATAATGCTTCGAGGATTACGCGCACACTAATGGTCAGTTATGAGTTAAATTTATAATACTATACCTGGTAAGATGGTTACGTAAAAGTGAAATCTGAACGACCCAAAGCAAACCAGGGATTTGAATCGAAGGACTCAAGATTTGCCGCTAGTTAAGTCCAACATGATCAACTTACAAGTCATCATTCCAGGAATTAACGCCATGACGTCTGCAACTGTTATCAGAATAGCCACCACGATCCGTGTCAGTGGTAGTATAGACACTGTATGAAAAGCAATCAATTTATATTTCCAAGGAACCAATAAATAAGCGAACAGAAAATCCAGTGAATATGTTATGAAACGATAAATTGCTGACAGCATGCTTGTTTGTCCACACTCTACAGACTTCTAAATGCCTACATGTTTTGTGCGAAGTTGCAGGCTCAGGTAATAAACATTGTACACGGTGCTGTTCAAAAGTTGCACTGAGAATTACAACAGTGGCTTTTACTGGATATTTTGAGAACTGCATTCAGTACATAAACGCTAATTCAGGAAAGACTAAGACTTTGAAAACTGTTCTGCTCAACTTCGTAATTGTTTTTAACCTTCACGAACAGAAAGTGTCAATCTACTGTGCGAGAGTTTATGTCATGCATATATTCACACCAAGTCACGAAATAAAACATCGCCAGGTATTTTTGCAGTCCAACTTCCATAGAATGTCCAGGTTCATTTTGGCTTCCCCTTCGGATGCCATATGTTCGACTAAAATGAGTTGTTCAGAAGATGCTGGAGAATAACTGTACCTCTTGTCTACGAAACAGACACCTGGAGTTGATCAGTCTGATGTGTCTGCTGTCAAGTGCTTGTTCACTGGACTTTTCCTCTGGACTGTGTAAATGCATACTTGATTGAGACTGATCGTTTGTCCTTGCAAACCAATGGGAGCGTATAATTGTAGACACACTTGAAGGCGGTTAAGGCTGTCCCGTTTTCAATC